CATATGACACACCAACATGTCACTAATGTAATTCCTGGGTGCAAGGCCATGGAGAGACTTGTACACAAGCAGAGCCGTTTTTAAAATCTATTCTTTGAGCCACAGGAAAGCCAGTGCAGAGACCTGAGGACGCGGACTAATATGGTCATACTTCCTGGTTCCTGTCAGGACTCTAGCTCTCTGCATTTTGGATGTACTGCAGGCTGCTTACAGGTCTGTTTGGACAACCTGTAAGCAGGCCATGTGCAGTAGTCTTAGCCTGCTGGGAGACAAATGCATGGACAAGAATCTCCAAGTCTGCCCTGGACACTATATTTCTAACTTTTGGCAATGTTCTTCAGATGGTAAAAAAGCTGTTGATGTTATTGATTTTTATGTGGCTATTGAAATTTAGTCTGAGTCCAGTATACCCCCAAATTCTGACCTTGTCTGAAGGAATAGGGAGAGAGACTGAAGTTTGACAAATGACGCCCATCTCTTTGTTTCCTGGGGACAAAAACAATGATTTCGGTTTTGTCTGCATTTAGACTGGAAGAAATTATTTTGGCATCCATCACTGATCTGTTGGATACAGTGACGGAGCAAAAAAAATCCAGTGGTCCATGTTCTCCTGCAGTCAGTGAACATAGACTAAGTGTCGTCAGCGGTAATTGTGGTAGGACACACTTTGTTTCTGTTGTAATTAACTGACGCTAACGGCAGCATGTATAGATTTAAATAGGAAGAGGTCCCAGGAATCGACCCCTGTGGTACACCACAGGTCAGGGCACATCATCGAACGCAGTCTCCAATACTCCACAGAGTATCTTAAAAACACAGGCAAATAATTTTACATGACATACTACTTATTTTTAGTAATAAATCTTACCAGAATTTTACTTTTTTCAGCGAGGGAGACAAGTGGCCGACGATGTTGCCTCTGTGCGTTTGTTATTACCGCCGTGCTTATTTTTAGCTAACCACTTTTCAGTCCAACCCTCGTGTAGAATGGTGTTGCAGGATCCAGATAGTGTTGGTCCCTCCTCGTTTTGAATCAGAATCAGAATCAGAATCATTTTTATCGCCACGTAAGTAACAGGAGGTTACAGACTTGGAAATTGCTTTGGCTCAGTGCAACAGTCAGAAAGAGGCGTACGAAGGAGATTTATTTAAGACCCCGGCTTTAGAGAGAGCTGTAGCATCCAGGGTCATGTGTCGGACAACAGAAGAGAGCGCTAACAGTTACACATAACGACGCACTTTCTCACATATGTCCCATCACACAGCCTGTTTGAAGAGCTGGTATTGGGAATGTAGGACGTGAAATACCGGGGAAATGTCAGTGTTGCCTCACCAGTTACAGGCAGTAGGAATGAGCAGCACACAGCACAAGATAAACTCTATGCTATGATTGGCATAAAAAAAATGCAAGTATAAAATCTCTATCTTTAGTATGACCAAGAAGCAAGACACAAACATATATAGGTGGATTTACGAAAGAGCCGCACTCTCCAAAACTATTAAACCGAAGCCTCTAGTCACAAATCACCAGAATGATTGACAGTTAGGAGGACCAATCGAATTGTATAAAAAGGAGCAAGTATAAAATGCTGTGTATTCTAGTGCAAGGGTTATGTATAGTTGCATGTTTCCATCTGTACATCAGCAGCAGACTCAGCAAAGGGACAGTGACACATGTGGTTCCATACTGCACTTTAAAGCTGGGGTACCTTGCTTTTCTTCTCCTCACACAATACGTTTTGTTTGTTCCAACAGAAAAAGGATTGTAAAGGTAGCATTTGGCAAACAAATCAAACCACACATGCTGTTTTTATCTTTTGAGAAAACACATCTTCAAGAAAATACAAAGCATGCAGCGTAATATTATATCCGCTCTCCTACAGGCAAAGTGGGGGATGAAGTGTCCTGCTCAAGGGCACAACGACAGCAGACATCAGTGGGAGTTGGTGGAGGAGGTCTCGCCGTGGACTAGAACCCACTCTACCAACTGAGCCACTGTCGCTGTTTTATTTGATTCTTTGTGCTGAGAGCTGATTGGCTGATTGAGGGTGGTCCTATCTCTTCAAAAATCTGATCTAAATGATGTGTTCCACTGGGGTTTTACTGCAAATGGCAAAAAAGTGACCAAATTACATGCGTGCGAAGTGGCTCCAGAAAAACAGGTCCATAGACTGCAAAAAGTGGCTCCGAATATACAAGAAAAAATAGGTCCATACACTGCAAAAAGTGGCTCAGAATATACAAGAAAAAATAGGTCCATACACTGCAAAAAGTGGCTCAAAATATACAAGAAAAAATAGGTCCATACACTGCAAAGAGTGGCTCAAATAAATTAGAAAAAAATAGGTCCATACACTGCAAAAAGTGGCTCAGAATATATAAGAAAAAATAGGTCCATACACTGCAAAAAGTGGCTCAGAATATACAAGAAAAAATAGGTCCATACACTGCAAAAAGTGGCTCAAAATATACAAGAAAAAAATAGGTCCATACACTGCAAAAAGTGGCTCAAAATATACAAGAAAAAATAGGTCCATACACTGCAAAAGTGGCTCAAAATAAATTAGAAAAAAAATATGTCCATACACTGCAAAAAGTGGCTCAGAATATATAAGAAAAAATAGGTCCATACACTGCAAAAACTGGATCAAAATAAAGTAGAAAAAAATAGGTCCATACACTGCAAAAAGTGGCTCAAAATAAATAAGAAAAAATAGGTCCATACACTGCAAAAAGTGGCTCAAAAACATTAAAATGGAATATAAAATAGTTTCAAGATAACTTATCTGCCAGTTGGTCATAATTTTTCCACTTAAAATAACAAATAAAGTTATATTATTTGAAGTATCTTCAGCCGTTTTTTCTTCAGTCCAAAAAAAACGGTGTGATTAGATAAATACACTCAAATCTATTGAATTACACTAGTCTATATTTTTGCAGCGTGTAGAGCAAGACGACCACTGTCCAAAAATGTTGATAAATGTCCCGGATCATCTCGTCCTTACGCCCTCCTGCATCAGTTTGAAACAAGTCCAAAACCCATTGGGAAAAAGTGAGAAACCTCGGGAAAAGCCACATTCTTTTACCTTCACTTAACCAGCACAGCCCCACTGAGGTTTCAGGATCGACTTTGAGATTGAGAGAGAGTTCTGCTCCTACGGACAGTCAGGCTGTAGAACGAGGACTGAGGTTTTTCCTTTGAAACCTCCTAATATGTTTATATCTTAAAATAAATATGTTGTCTTTAAAACACTGTCCATTTTAATCGCAGTTCATGATTTGAGCTTAAAAAGAAAAGAAAAACCGCTCTTCTTTGTGCCGCGGCTGAACCAAGGCCGAGGCTGTTTTTCTCATTCCGGCAAAATCCAAGGGGACTGTATTGTATAATCCATTTGCTTATTTTCTTTCCACTAATGTTCATTTTGAGTTCATTGTATCTCCGGTCAACCCAGGACCGTACCATCTCCTCCCCACCCCCCTGCGCTCTGTCTGTGTATATAGAATCGGTTCCTGAGTAATTATTTTATATGAGATTTATGAAGATATTTAAGAATTTAAAAAAATACATGTGTAAAGAAAGATGTATGGACCACTGACCTCTTAATGTTACTGCTCAGTATCTGAGTTTAGAAATGTCTTTGTTTTGAAATATCGTCTGTTTTGATTTGAGTTGTCCACCAAGTATGCAGACCCATCAAGTGTCGTATCTTGTCCCATCGCCGATAGAAATGCACTACCCATAACATAACGTCTGGTCAGCTTCACTTGTCGCTGTTAGAAATTGGGTAAAAACAATAGAGAAACGGAACGCAATCTACCTATACATTCACACCAACTGTGGAGGACCATGTGGGGATGAAACGAAATGCTATCTGTGGCCCTGGCTTTGAACCGAAGACCAGGGGATTGTAGCAGTATGACGTACTGACTTATAACCGTGCCATGTCCAAACTATTGTGTCTTTGTTTTTGATTGTTTCGAGTGAGAAAAATGACAGAAAAGGATGTGACAGTATTCTTGGGTTTCATTAAATTGTCCAGTAGGGGGCGCATGAGCAGAGATGGGACAGTGTTGATCCCATTGAAAACCATGTAAAGTCTGTTTTGGAGTCAAAGGCTCTCCTCCTGTGCGGTGTACGCTTGTTGTAACAGTCTTAATCAGGGACACTCAATTCTGAGGGAGCACTAACAAATATTTATCAAAAGAGTCTTGATTTCAGGCATTTTTGAAAAAAAAAAAACGGGGGCGCTTATCTGGGAAAGCCTTTATCCACCTCGCCTCATTCCAGTGATTTTTTCAAAGTGTCCTCCTTTATATGAGACCACAGTTGGAACATGAACAAACTCTGGTCTTTCTCTCTATTTGTGCGGTTGCTACAAACGTACACCGCACAAAAAGATGCTTCTTCTTCTACTATATCTCTGTGTATAAACCCGGCAGATGCACCGCCAGGCTACGTCACGTCCTGTCCTACGTTTGTTATTTGAACTACTGCCCTGACGTCAGATGAAACCCAAGAATATACAGTAAACGCTAACACATGCTAACACATGCTAACACACCACAAAATGGCTGTTTTTTTGGTTGGTATGATATGTTTTTTTATTTATTTTTTTCAAGGACAGTGTATAATAAACATGTTTGAGTGTGTGATTCTAGTGTATCGAAACAAATATTGTACTGATATTGAGGAAGTTGTGATTCCAGGGCTGGGCAATGTGTCTTATTTATGGGATGAGCCGGGTTTTTTTCCCCTTTGGATTCTGCCTCCTTATCCCTGTCTCTCTGTCATTTTGATTTGTGCGATTTGTAAAGAACAGGTTTCCAGAAAAGGCACTTTAAACAAAAAAATGCTGAATTATAAAGAATCAAAAAGAGGTAAATTACACATGAGCTCTTTTCAGGAAACTGGGGTCTGTGGAAATGACATTGAAATTTGACCTTTTTTTGTACATATTGCCCAGCTCTAAATACACACAAAACAACCTCACCTTTTCAATTCAATGGAAAAGAAGACAGGAGTATATAGAAGAGGAGAGGGAGAAGAGAGAGTTGGCTAGAGTAGAGGATAGAGAGTAGAATAGAGTAGAGGGGAGGGCAGAGAGGAAGAGGGGAGAGGGAGGAGAGGAAGAGGGGAGAGGGAGGAGAGGAAGAGGGGATAGGGAGGAGAAAAAGGGGGGAGAGGGAGGAGAGAAAGAGGGGAGAGGGAGGAGAGGAAGAGGGGAGAGGGAGGAGAGGAAGAGGGGATAGGGAGGAGAGAAAGAGGGGAGAGGGAGGAGAGAAAGAGGGGAGAGGGAGGAGATAAAGAGGGGAGAGGGAGGAGAGGAAGAAAGGATAGGGAGGAGAGAAAGAGGGGAGAGCGGGGAGAGGAAGAGGGGTGAGGGAGGAGAGTTGGATAGAGTAGAGTAAAGGATAGAGAGTAGAATAGAGTAGAGGATAGGGCAGAGAGGAAGAGGGGATAGGGAGGAGAGAAAGAGGGGATAGGGAGGAGAGAAAGAGGGGTGAGGGAGGTGAGAAAGAGGGGAGAGGGAGGAGAGGAAGAGGGGAGAGGGAGGAGAGTTGGATAGAGTAGAGTAAAGGATAGAGAGTAGAATAGAGTAGAGGATAGGGCAGAGAGGAAGAGGGGATAGGGAGGAGAGAAAGAGGGGATAGGGAGGAGAGAAAGAGGGGATAGGGAGGAGAGAAAGAGGGGAGAGGGAGGAGAGGAAGAGGGGTGAGGGAGGAGAGGAAGAGGGGATAGGGAGGAGAGAAAGGGGGGAGAGGGAGGAGAGAAAGAGGGGTGAGGGAGGAGAGAAAGAGGGGTGAGGGAGGAGAGAAAGAGGGGTGAGGGAGGAGAGAAGAGGGGATAGGGAGGAGAGAAAGAGGGGAGAGGGAGGAGAGGAAGAGGGGTGAGGGAGGAGAGGAAGAGGGGATAGGGAGGAGAGAAAGGGGGGAGAGGGAGGAGAGAAAGAGGGGTGAGGGAGGAGAGAAAGAGGGGTGAGGGAGGAGAGAAAGAGGGGTGAGGGAGGAGAGAAAGAGGGGATAGGGAGGAGAGAAAGAGGGGAGAGGGAGGAGAGGAAGAGGGTGAGGGAGGAGAGGAAGAGGGGATAGGGAGGAGAGAAAGGGGGGTGAGGGAGGAGAGAAAGAGGGGATAGGGAGGAGAGAAAGAGGGGAGAGGGAGGAGAGGAAGAGGGGTGAGGGAGGAGAGGAAGAGGGGATAGGGAGGAGAGAAAGGGGGGAGAGGGAGGAGAGAAAGAGGGGTGAGGGAGGAGAGAAAGAGGGGTGAGGGAGGAGAGAAAGAGGGGTGAGGGAGGAGAGAAAGAGGGGAGAGGGAGGAGAGGAAGAGGGGATAGGGAGGAGAGAAAGGGGGGAGAGGGAGGAGAGAAAGAGGGAGAGGGAGGAGAGGAAGAGGGGATAGGGAGGAGAGAAAGAGGGGAGAGGGAGGAGAGGAAGAGGGGATAGGGAGGAGAGAAAGGGGGGAGAGGGAGGAGAGAAAGAGGGGAGAGGGAGGAGAGGAAGAGGGGATAGGGAGAAGAGAAAGGGGGGAGAGGGAGGAGAGAAAGAGGGGTGAGGGAGGAGAGAAAGAGAGGGAGAGGGAGGAGAGGAAGAGGGGTGAGGGAGGAGAGGAAGAGGGGATAGGGAGGAGAGAAAGGGGGCAGAGGGAGGAGAGAAAGAGGGGTGAGGGAGGAGAGAAAGAGGGGTGAGGGAGGAGAGAAAGAGGGGTGAGGGGAGGAGAGAAAGAGGGGATAGGGAGGAGAGAAAGAGGGGAGAGGGAGGAGAGGAAGAGGGGTGAGGGAGGAGAGGAAGAGGGGATAGGGAGGAGAGAAAGGGGGGAGAGGGAGGAGAGAAAGAGGGGTGAGGGAGGAGAGAAAGAGGGGTGAGGGAGGAGAGAAAGAGGGGTGAGGGAGGAGAGAAAGAGGGGAGAGGGAGGAGAGGAAGAGGGGATAGGGAGGAGAGAAAGGGGGGAGAGGGAGGAGAGAAAGAGGGGAGAGGGAGGAGAGGAAGAGGGGATAGGGAGGAGAGAAAGAGGGGAGAGGGAGGAGAGGAAGAGGGGATAGGGAGGAGAGAAAGGGGGGAGAGGGAGGAGAGAAAGAGGGGAGAGGGAGGAGAGAAAGAGGGGTGAGGGAGGAGAGAAAGGGGGGAGAGGGAGGAGAGAAAGAGGGGTGAGGGAGGAGAGAAAGAGGGGTGAGGGAGGAGAGAAAGAGGGGTGAGGGAGGAGAGAAAGAGGGGAGAGGGAGGAGAGGAAGAGGGGATAGGGAGGAGAGAAAGGGGGGAGAGGGAGGAGAGAAAGAGGGGTGAGGGAGGAGAGTTGGATAGAGTAGAGGGGAGGGGAGAGGGAGTAGAGTAGAAGAGAGGGAATAGAGGGGGCAGTTGTATAGAGTAGATTGGAGTAGTGTAGGAGAGAGGGAGTAGAGAAGAGGGGAGAGGAAGGAGGGGTGAGAGAGTAGAGTAGAGGGGAGAGAAGAGGGAGTAGAGAATATTGTCTACCAAGAAAAAAACAACGGTAAAAACATGAAAACACAACAAAGACAATTTACAAAACGCACAAAATCCAAACTGATTGAAACCATTTTTTAAAATTCAAAATCAAGTAAAATTCATTAAAGACAACAGTAGTTTGGACATGGCTCGTGGTTCTGAGGGTCCTAGTCCCGCTGGTCCTGGTCGTGCTGGTCCTGGTCCCGCTGGTCCTGGTCCCGCTGGTCCTGGTCCCGCTGGTCCTGGTCCTTCTGTTCCTGGTCCCGCTGGTCCTGGTCGTGCTGGTCCTGGTCGTGCTGGTCCTGGTCCCGCTGGTCCTGGTCCTGGTCCTTCTGGTCCTTCTGGTCCTGGTCCCGCTGGTCCTGGTCCCGCTGGTCCTGGTCCCGCTGGTCCTGGTCCCGCTGGTCCTGGTCCCGCTGGTCCTGGTCCTGGTCCCGCTGGTCCTGGTCCTTCTGGTCCTGGTCCCGCTGGTCCTGGTCCTGGTCGTGCTGGTCCTGGTCGTGCTGGTCCTGGTCGTGCTGGTCCTGGTCCCGCTGGTCCTGGTCCCGCTGGTCCTGGTCCCGCTGGTCCTGGTTCCGCTGGTCCTGGTCCCGCTGGTCCTGGTCCTGGTCCCGCTGGTCCTGGTCCTGCTGGTCCTGGTCCTTCTGGTCCTGCTCGTGCTGGTCCTGGTCCCGCTGGTCCTGGTCCTGCTGGTCCTGGTCCTGCTGGTCCTGGTCCTGCTGCTACATGTGTGTGGTGCGTTCAGGAGCCTCCCCTGTCAGAGGTGATGCGTTCGCGGGCCGTGGGTCTTTTGGGTCTGGTGTCGGAGCATTGGCCTGTGGTACTGTGACAAAAACCTCCAGTCTCACTTTTCCCTTTTTCTACATTAACACAGATTCCAATAAATGTATTTTTTCACCATGCGAGTGTGCGCTCATGACTGGGTTCCTTTTTTATTTATGGAAAATGTTTGTACGAAGAGAAGGATTTAAATGTGGTGACGGCTGCGGCTTTCCTCTGCTTCCACTGATTAAAATATTATTTATTGTTATTTGGACACACTTATTTAACACCACACTGCATTTTACACTTTGTCATTAGTTCTGAAACGTCTGGATTCTGCTCCTCTTTTTTTCAGCCAATTGGAAAAATATAACCGTCAAAGTCATGGAAATGTGAAAAAAACAAAAAAATTACCAGAAGCAGAACTCACTGGTAAAAAAATGAATTCAATGAAATGTATTTGTTTACATTATACCAGTCAGGATTTAGGTTCAGTGTAGGTTCAAGGTAAGTTTAGTTTAATATAATTTTACCTCAAAGTATTGTCTGAAAAGAGTTCAAAGGAAAAGAACTGACGACAACATTTGGAAGCGGCCTCTTATATACTGTATATATATATATTATTTTGTTTTTAACTCAAGAGCATATTATTACTTCATCGTCAGTGGTGGTGTTTTCCCGAGAAGTTTTGTCCATAAAAATCTCGGTTTTACTAAGTTTCTTTATGACGTAATCGTGGTTATTATTGTCAAAAGTGCAGAAGGACTAAAGAAAATGTACAAGGATTTAGTCATAACGCGATCATATCAAAGTTATGGTTAAGGTTTAGTTCTGTCTCTGTCGGAAAACTGTCTGCAGCAGGAAGAACCATCGGAGGAACCATCGGAGGAACCATCGGAGGAACCATCGGAGGAGCCATCGGAGGAACCATCGGAGGAGCCATCGGAGGAACCATCGGAGGAACCATCGGAGGAACCATCGGAGGAGCCATCGGAGGAACCATCGGAGGAGCCATCGGAGGAACCATCGGAGGAGCCATCGGAGGAGCCATCGGAGGAACCATCGGAGGAGCCATCGGAGGAACCATCGGAGGAACCATCGGAGGAACCATCGGAGGAGCCATCGGAGGAACCATCGGAGGAACCATCGGAGGAGCCATCGGAGGAACCATCGGAGGAGCCATCGGAGGAACCATCGGAGGAGCCATCGGAGGAACCATCGGAGGAACCATCGGAGGAACCATCGGAGGAGCCATCGGAGGAGCCATCGGAGGAACCATCGGAGGAGCCATCGGAGGAACCATCGGAGGAACCATCGGAGGAACCATCGGAGGAACCATCGGAGGAACCATCGGAGGAGCCATCAGAGGAACCATCGGAGGAACCATCGGAGGAACCATCGGAGGAACCATCGGAGGAACCATCGGAGGAGCCATCGGAGGAGCCATCGGAGGAACCATCGGAGGAACCATCGGAGGAACCATGTCCAGACACTGCTGCATTTCTACCCACGACCAAGAGCCTCCTCCCAGACACCGCTCTCTCTCTCTCTCTCCCTCTTTAGTTCCTCTCTCATCTCGTTCTCGCGCCTCGCTCTCTCGCTTTGCCTTCTCGTCTCACTCTCTCCCGTCTCACTCTCTCGCTTTGCCTTCTTGTCTCGCTCTGTTGTATCGTTCTCCCGTCTCGCTCGTTTGCTTTCTCGTGTCACTTTCTCGTCTCGCTCTCTCGTCTCGCTTTCTCGTCTCGCTCTCTCGTCTCGCTCTCCCGTCTCGCTCTCTCGTCTCGCTTTCTCGTCTCGCTCTCTCTTCTCGCTCTCTCGTCTCGCTCTCCCGTCTCGCTCTCCCGTCTCGCTCTCCCGTCTCGCTCTCTCGTCTCGCTCTCTCGTCTCGCTCTCTCGTCTCGCTCTCTCGTCTCGCTCTCTCGTCTCGCTCTCTCGTCTCGCTCTCTCGTCTCGCTCTCTCGTCTCGCTCTCTCGTCTCGCTCTCTCATCTCGCTCTCTCATCTCGGTCTCTCATCTCGCTCTCTCATCTCGCTCTCTTGTCTCGCTCTCTCGTCTCGCTCTCTCGTCTCGCCCTCCCGTCTCGCTCTCTCGTCTCGCTCTCTCGTCTCGCTCTCTCTCGTCTCGCTCTCTCGTCTCGCTCTCCCGTCTCGCTCTCTCGTCTCGCTCTCTCGTCTCGCTCTCTCGTCTCGCTCTCTCTTGTCTCGCTCTCTCTTGTCTCGCTCTCTCGTCTCGCTCTCTCGTCTCGCTCTCTCGTCTCGCTCTATCGTCTGGCTCTCCCGTCTCGCTCTCTTGTCTCGCTCTCTCGTCTCGCTCTCTCGTCTCGCTCTCTCGTCTCGCTCTCCCTCGTCTCGCTCTCTCGTCTCGCTCTCCCGTCTCGCTCTCTCGTCTCGCTCTCTCGTCTCGCTCTCTCGTCTCGCTCTCTCGTCTCGCTCTCTCGTCTCGCTCTCCCGTCTCGCTCTCTCTTGTCTCGCTCTCCCGTCTCGCTCTCCCGTCTCGCTCTCTCGTCTCGCTCTCTCGTCTCGCTCTCTCGTCTCGCTCTCTCGTCTCGCTCTCTCGTCTCGCTCTCTCGTCTCGCTCTCTCGTCTCGCTCTCCCGTCTCGCTCTCTCGTCTCGCTCTCTCTTGTCTCGCTCTCTCGTCTCGCTCTCTCGTCACGCTCTCTGTTGTCTCGCTCTCTCTTGTCTCGCTCTCTCGTCTCGCTCTCTCATCTCGCTCTCTCGTTCTCGCTCTCTCTTGTCTCGCTCTCTCGTCTCGCTCTCTCGTCTCGTTCTCCCGTCTCGCTCTCTCGTCTCGCTCTCTCGTCTCGCTCTCTCGTCTCGCTCTCTCGTCTCGCTCTCTCTTGTCTCGCTCTCTCTCGTCTCGCTCTCTCGTCTCGCTCTCCCGTCTCGCTCTCTCGTCTCGCTCTCTCGTCTCGCTCTCTCGTCTTGCTCTCCCGTCTCGCTCTCTCGTCTCGCTCTCTCGTCTCGCTCTCTTGTCTCGCGTTTGTCGTCTCGCTCTCTCGTCTCGCTCTCTTGTCTCGCGTTTGTCGTCTCGCTCTCTCATCTCGCTCTCTCGTCTCGCTCTCTCGTCTCGCTCTCTCGTCTCGCTCTCCCGTCTCGCTCTCCCGTCTCGCTCTCTCGTCTCGCTCTCTCGTCTCGCTCTCTCGTCTCGCTCTCTCGTCTCGCTCTCTCGTCTCGCTCTCTTGTCTCGCGTTTGTCGTCTCGCTCTCTCATCTCTTTTGCTATACAAAAGCTTTGGGTAATTCTGCTTTCGTGATTGCAGCATGTCAGAGACAAGTGGAGAAGGACAGAGGGAGAGAGAGAGAGAGAGAGAAATGAAAAATGAGAGAGAGGTGATGGACGTGTGGAGCCGGGGCCCCTCCCTCAATGGTTCTGGTTCTGAATCATTTTATTCTGTCTTTTCTTTCCAACAGAATCAAACATGTTTGTGTTTTTGTCTTCAGCCTGAACAGTCGTCGGCCTCGAGACGAAGCAGCCTCAGTCCTCTTCAGAACAAGATTTATACTCCAAAACACCGAGAGCGTAAAGCCCTGTTTCCACCAACCCTACTCTACCCTACTCTGCTCTACCCTACCCTACTCTACTCTACTCTACTCTACTCTGCTCTGCTCTGCTCTACTCTACCCTACTCTACTCTACTCTACTCTACTCTACCCTACCCTACTCTACTCTACTGTTCTCTACTCTACTCTACTCTACTGTTCTCTACTCTACTCTACCCTACTCTACTCTACTCTACTCTACTCTACCCTACTCTACTCTACTGTTCTCTACTCTACTCTACTCTACTCTACTCTACTCTACTCTACCCTACCCTACTCTACTCTACTCTACTGTTCTCTACTCTACTCTACTCTACTACTCTACCCTACTCTACTCTACTGTTCTCTACTCTACTCTACTCTACTCTACTGTTCTCTACTCTACTCTACTGTTCTCTACTCTACTCTACTCTACTACTCTACTCTACCCTACTCTACTCTACTGTTCTCTACTCTACTCTACCCTACCCTACTCTACTCTACTGTTCTCTACTCTACCCTACTCTACCCTACTCTACTCTACTGTTCTCTACTCTACTCTACGCTACCCTACTCTACCCTACTGTTCTCTACTCTACTCTACTCTATTCTACTCTACTACTCTACCCTACTCTACTCTACTCTACTGTTCTCTACTCTACTCTACTCTACTGTTCTCTACTCTACTCTACTCTACTGTTCTCTACTCTACTCTACTCTACTACTCTACCCTACTCTACTCTACTCTACTCTACTACTTTACCCTACTCTACTGTTCTCTACTCTACTCTACTCTACTCTACCCTACCCTGCTCTACTCTACTGTTCTCTACTCTACTCTACTCTACTACTCTACTCTACCCTACTCTACTCTACTGTTCTCTACTCTACTCTACCCTACCCTACTCTACTCTACTGTTCTCTACTCTACCCTACTCTACCCTACTCTACTCTACTGTTCTCTACTCTACTCTACGCTACCCTACTCTACCCTACTGTTCTCTACTCTACTCTACTCTATTCTACTCTACTACTCTACCCTACTCTACTCTACTCTACTACTCTACCCTACTCTACTCTACTGTTCTCTACTCTACTCTACTCTACTACTCTACCCTACTCTACTCTACTCTACTCTACTCTACTACTTTACCCTACTCTACTGTTCTCTACTCTACTCTACTCTACTCTACCCTACCCTGCTCTACTCTACTCTACTCTACTCTACTCTACTTTACTCTACTTGGACTAGGGTCAAATGGGGCTTTAGCTTCAAGTATTTTTCATAATTTGGGAACAGTGTCTCTCTCTCTCTCCTCAGTTCTCCCTCCTCTTCTCTTGTTTCTCTCTCGTCTTTCTTTCCTCTCTCATTCCTCACTTGTCTATATCTCTCTCTCATTCCTCACTTGTCTCTCTCCCTCTCTTGTTCCTCTCTCATCCTTCTCTCTCACTCTCTCTCTTCCGTCTCTCTCTCTCGTCTTTAGGGATAAACGCTGGTTATGTTTACATTTCAGCCCTCAGTTTAAAACCAGAGAAACCCTGGCTTTGTGTTTGTGTGTGACAGAGTTACACTGATGATTCATGGATCAGGCCCAAGAGAGAGACCCACATGAAGCCAACTCCAGCTGCGGCTTTATAAATACTGGATTAAAAAAAAAAACACATTTCTTAAAGAGTATCTTCACTGTGCACTCAGCTGTCATGTCTAATAACAACAACAATAAAAACATGAAATAAAAAAATAAAAATAAAATAAAAATAATAATAACAATACCTTTTTTGTTGAGTCTTTCGATATTATTATTTTTTGTGTCAGAACAAGCACGATATACTCAAACTTTTGAACTGTTTTGTGTAAAGGTTTTCTGTCCTATGGTGAAATGAGGAAGGACTCAAAAACCACCAATGCAAAAAATAAGGATTTAATGAAGAAAATTAATCAAACACACCAAAAATCCAAAGAAAAGTTTGGTTTTCCAGCCCCTAAATCTTGTTATTGTTTTCATGTTGATGTTCCGCCCTCCACCATTTCACCAATCAGAACGTCTGTGATCCGGGCGCCAGAACTCACCGCGTGGAGATAATCTCACTGGTAAAGTACCATGTGGTGCAGAACTAAAAAAGGTCTCGTTATGATTCTCAAATCATTAACGACAAAACAAGGAATAAAACCAGGATTTCTATCTTTGTGAAAAAGGTGTTGGTTATAGATTTGTTGTTGACAAAACTCTTGTCTATTCAGCTGTTATGGTCCCAGCTGGATTCGTCTGCATATCTGGCAACCTGAGTCAGGGAGAGAGGGAGAGGCTGCAGTACCACTTTTGGCCACATTTTCACATTCTGCTCCTTTAATTAAAAACATACAATGGACGCTCAGAAGTCAGAAAATAACCTTGAGATCTCGACCCAAACGTCGCCTCCCGACTTGTGTGTTTTTTACCAGGAGATGCTTTTTGTCCATTAATGCAGAATATTTGAGCTCTTTAACTAAACGCTGCTACTTCAGGGAGGTTTCCGGATGCTCGTTCTGATCATTAGAGCAAGATATTAGCTCAGGCTGAAGGGACGCAAGATTACTGTTTAATTAACCTCATGCTAGCTTACAAATGTTGATATGATAGATTTTCCCAAACAAACAGCCACACGGTGCTTGGTCCAGAAACAGCTTCTAACTTTTCTGATTCGAACCTGGGATGGTAAAGGTGTTGTAAGGGGCAGATGTTTGTTATTGTATATGCTATAAATGATTAAATAAACTGGAACAATAACAACCCATATCTCAATGTCCACATTTATGGACATTGGTCTCTGCTTCTTCTGTACCAATGGCTCCATGTGTTTTTATCGGCTTGAACAGTTGATTCTCTGATCTGTGTTGGTGAATCGACAGATTTGTCCAACAGAAGTCCTCAGAGATTACTAATGTTGTGATTTAGGGCAATACAAAAAACATTGAATTGAATTATTCACTGTTACCCCATAGTCCACTCTCAATTTTTAACTGTATGCCTTTAACCTTTTTTTAACTTTGTAACTTTTATAATTTAGTTGTATTGAGATTAAGATTTGTGGAAAATTCCCCACTGTGGGATGTATAAATGATCTCTTATCTTCACCTCCACAAAAGTCTACATCTAGGTTCTACAATCGAGACCCAACGCATTTTCTTGTGAGATTTCTAGATTACAGTCGTGGAGCTAATCTCAGAAAGATTTTTTCTGAAAACTGCATTCTTGAGTAGACTTTTCATGTTCTCCCCATGTTTGCAGAGGT